GTCCATGCCTTACGCCGCCCTTGGTCATAGAAATGATGTAATTTGAATATAAATTATTTATAAATACGTATGTCAAGTTATATTTTTATTACTACGTAAAATATATTTAAGAGTTTACGACCACTGTGCTGGATGAGACGTTGTTGAAACAAAAAAAGTTATGCATTCCATCACATACATAAACTGTCGTAATTCGCCAATTGCAAATCAGCAAATTCGTAAAATTTTTGTTTATTTTGAACAATCCGGATAATCGAAAATCCGGATAATGGAGGTTCTACTGTATTATATCATCACTGGAAGAACAAGGACTCGGTGTAACTGAACAAGCCGAATTAATTGAAAATGCAAAAGAAATTGTTTCAGGTTATCCTATATTTCTCAAAAATTGGAAAAAGTTTTGTCAAGTAATACTGACCTTATCAAATTTATGTCTTTTGATATGAATTTAACTGATAAAGTTAATAGCGAATACACTCCTTTAGTTGCAGTGGACGTCGAACGTTCGTTCTCATTGTATTCATCGATATTGAGCGATCGACATCATAGTAAAAGCGAGGATTATTTGAAATATCTAAGTGTAATTTGTTTTAACTCGTTTTTGAAATAAATAACTGGCGATTTTTTTGGGCGAATTTAAGGCAAAAAATTGGCGATTTTCGCCGCGATTTTAGGCCCAAAATCTGGCGAAAACTTTCGGCTATAGTTATTACTGTGCTACCTCATACTTTGAATTTAATTCATTTCAGGAGGCTGTTCAAACTCCAAATCATTTAAAGTCCAAATCAGTTTTTCCCATTAGAAATAACAGAAAATGAATTAATTAATTTTCCGACCCCAAATAATACCCCTTTCAATAAACTTAAAACAGCAAATACAAATAATTTAATGTAAAAATAACACAATTAAATTTCCCAAATAATAAATTAAAACACAAAAATAATAAATAAAATATGTAAATACTGTATAATAAAATGAAAATTGCATTTACTAGTCACATACTGTTGACTTTGGTATCTTAAAACAGGGCCACCAGATCAGCCATACATATACAGCTTTTATGCTTTACAATAAGTTCCTTTTTCATTTCAATTATTGATATTTTGACCTTCCTCTTAAGCTTTGTTACTTTTATATACTTCTCAGATGCCATAGTTATTATGTAAAGATTACATTGAATTTAATAGAAAGTTCTTGCATACTTTTAACAGCTAATGCTACTTAACTTGGATGTGTGCTTCAATTATAACAATTGTGGAATTTAACACAATAATATGATATTGTAGGTTATTCTTTGTTCAGGAGCTTATTTTAAACCTTTTACTTCACATTTTGTTTGAATAAAATTAAGTTGAAATATCTTCAGATAAACATATCAGAATATTATTATTTGAGTTTCAGAAGAGATGTAATGCCATACAAACAGTTAAAGAAAATTCTTAATGTGTATGGGAGAGATGTGCCTAAACTTTGAATTGGCCCAAGAGACCCTTGCACCATTTAAAGGCATTAAACCAAACCTAAACTTTTAATATATTGAATGTGGTTTAATTAATTAAGAAGTTTTAGGACTAAGAACTAAAGGATACAAGATGTATGAGGTGTCCAAAAGCTGTCAATGAAGAAAAATTGCTGGAAGAAATTGTTAAAAATTTGTAGAATTTCACCAGATGATAATTTAGTTTAATCAAAAAAAGACAGTCTATCCAAAAATGTTTTTTGGACAGACTGTGTCTTTTTTGATTAAACTGTGTATTGATTGTGTATTTTTGATGTGTTTGATTATATATATTGACAATATATATAATCAAACACATCAAAAATACACAGTCAATACAATATATACAATATTGACAATATATAAGCAAACACATCAAAACTAAAGCAAAAAAAGCACTAGAAACATACAAGCATAATGTAAGATTGAGAGACGACTTGGGTATATAACAGGCTGTGTTTATGCTTTGAGTGCATTTTTTTCAATGCATGCACAGTTTAACCTATCCAATGTTGAAATTTTTATCTGTTGCCTGTGATGCCATGTTGAATTTTTGTCGATGTTAAGCCTAAAATTTTTTATTTTTATTTTTAAAATAATAGTGTTTACTGTGTCTGTTGTGACAAATGCAGTATGTGACAGTGGAGTAAAGTGAAAAAGCAACTGCTTGGTTAGAAAACAGAGTTTAATCTAACAAGCTGTATATACTACACATACCAAAAATGAAGGGGGATTAGGTGTGAATTACAAGAATGTAGTTGTCTAGACTTTTGTTTATATATCATCTGGAATGTCCCTAGGAGAGTGTCATGATACTCACCAACACTTCCCCTCATTCCAGTGGGTGCTTACTAAATTATAGACCAAGGTGTAATAATAAATGCGATCTTGATACATGATTTATAAGATTGACTTCATATTTAAAAGTCTTAGTCCATTAGCATGTTTTGGGTAGTGTAAGCCTTTTGTTAAAAGATCGGCAGGCATCTTATCTGTAGGAATAAATGCGATGTCTATTCTTCCTCGTTCAACGCATTCATGCACGAAATGATGTCTTATATCTATGTGCTTACTTCGTGAGTGAAACATTGGATTTCAAGCAAGTAATTGTGCTCCTTGGTTGTCGCAATAAATTGTCAATTTGGATTTATTGCTTCTTGAGAGTTCATTGAAAAGTTCTAGTAGGTGTAGAGCTTCTTTAGTAGCATCTGATAATGCCATATATTTGGCCTTGGTGCTCGATAAGGCAACCATGCGTTGTTTTCTTGATTCCTATGAGATGGGTCCATTAGCAAGCTTAAAAATGTATCCCGAGAATGTATGGCGATCATCTGTCGATGCTCCCCAGTCAGAGTCTGAGAATCCTGTAAGTGGTTCTCCAGTTGACTCAAATGTCAGGCCATGATTGGTCGTCCCTCTTAGATATCGAAGGATACGTTTCA